GAGGTCAATAAAATTAAGTCTGCTACTGAACAGCCTTTAGCAGAGTGCTAAGAACAGAGAAGAGGGCTCTTCTTTTTTTTTTTTTGCTGATATGTTCCACTCGTTGATTACTTTCTGCTTCATAATACTTAGACATTTACATAGCATCAGCCATCTTTTTCAGTAGAGTGCTTCCTTGTGATCTGAGCTACCAGTGAGAAAAGTCAATTTTGTCAACATGTTTTAGAGATAAGGCAACTAAATCTAAGAAACTTGAAGATATTGTACCAGGAAAGGAGATGTGAATTTTTTTCTATAAAGTAGATTAAGAATTTTTCTGAAAGGGAGACTATTAGAGAAGAAGAATGGGACCAGGGGTAGGGGAGAGGGAAAAATAAGGAAGGGTAATGTGAGAGTGGATATGATCAAAGCATGTTATATGCATATACAAAAATGCCACAAGAAACACATAATTCTGTATAATTAATATGTACTAACAGAAATAAAAGATCTTTCTGAAGATTCCAGTCTCCTAAATCAAGTTTTCAGAAATAATAGATCTGAGTGGACATTTCCATTTGTAGGAAAACTAGTACACACTCTCCCATGGATCACCAGGCAAATGCTGAACACCCCTTCACATTGACATGAAGGAAAATACCAATTCAGGACATGAAGGCTTCCCCTGCACTCAAGCTCCTGCTTCTACAGCCTGGGCTTCACAGGTTAAAGGATTTCTCTTGGGATGCTGATTTGTGCTTTTAAAGAATGAACTTATACTTGGAAGTCTTGCTGCAAGATTATATGATGATGTCATTATTTATGTAGTCCCAGCTGAGCCTATAAAATCCAAAAGCTTTACAATCTATATTTACAGTGATAGATTTAGACAGCATTTCCCCCACATCATTTACACACACACACACACACACACACACACACACTTCTTTAAGTCTCAGACTGCTTTTTGATGTAACTGTGTTTTCTCTATTTTGACATTCTTGGAGCAGCCCTAGTGAAGCTTAAGATTAAAATCACAAGTCTGCAGCTCAGACAGGGAATAAAGTACAAACCCTGAAGGTGATCTCATGTGTTCAGAATTATACTTCAAACAACTTCACTTGAAATGTAGCATTTAGACAAGGAGCTTTCTTTACCCAATCTTAATTAAAACAATGAAAGACATTTTCATCTTTATTATTAACAATGCTAATTAAACCAATACATTTTTATGTATTTGGGCTGTGACTATTTGTAAAAATAAATATCTAATGATAATGGCTTATGATCACAGTCTGTTCACTTTAGAATAAAGGAAACCAGGAACAACATAGTACACATATTAGTTGTATAATCTGTAGCACAAGATGAGTTTATCAACTATTAAAAAAGTGAAAAATAATTTCTGCGTTTATTATTTTTAGATTGCAATAGGGTAAGGTCAGGGGCAATAGCAAGTAGTTTAGGGGAGCTTCATTTAGCTCCCCATAAGCATCATCAGCCTCCCAGCATAACTACCAAAAATAAAATGCAATGTAACTGAGACTCTGTATATACATACTATGCAAAAGCAGCTTCAAAACAAGTCCCCAAGCTGCTCCTTCTAATAGACTGCTAACTGAAGATTTTCCCTTGACTGTCTAGAACCATTTGCTTACGTAGGGGCCTATAACTTCACAAAAAAAGTCACTCTGCCTTTTAAGATTAGGTGTCAGTTTGGATGTAACATGGAGCGGAGGAACCTACACACAGAAAAGGAACATAAACAATCCATTTTTGCACAAGATACTTTTTGCACAAAAGGACTAGATAGTGTCCTGCACTGTGTGATCTTGGTTAAGCTATGTAATTGTCTCGCCTCAATGCTCCCACCTGGAGACTGAGGGACTTAAAAGGGCTGGTCTCAGAAGCCTTTTGCATACTCAGAGCCTAGGATTCCTGGTTTCATCAAATATCTGAATCTGGATTGTTAATCCACACCTACCTCTGATGTTGTGCCTGGGTCCCTTTTTGCCATCTTTAACCATTTTCCTAGAAAAAGTGAGAAACCCTGACAGAACAGGACAAGTACGGAAAAAGAAGCTTAGATACTCCTGAGTGGGGAAGAAGTCCCCTGTTCAGTGGGTGTCCCCCACCTTTTTTTGCCATGTCAAAAAGCAGTCTAGAGTGGAGACAGAATCTGCAGAGTCGCAGAGGGGGGAGCTGATGAGTAATAGGGAGAATCCCACTTAGGCTTATCTCAAGCTCCACTTTCTTCCTTTACTCATGCTCACAGTAGAAATAAAGGGTAATGTTTCTCCTGGGAAGTCCTTGGCTCTGTTTTGTTTGTTTGTTTCCCCCCACAAAAAGGTTTTCGGGAGAAGAGGAAGGGGCGCAAAGCAAAGATGCAAACAAAGGACTTGGGACTCGATACAAAAGGACTCCCACTTGTGCACAGAAATGCCACTTCTTGACTAGCTGCAGATCAGCTTCCCCTGCAGGTGCTGCAGTCGGGTAGCGTCTGGAAGCGCTGAGGCCGGGGGCTGCGGCCGCCGCTGTCCTCATTGGACGCTAGGTAGGAGCTCCTCAGTGACTTTGGCCCATGGGAAAGCAAGCCTCGAGGTCAGCATCCTGCCAGCTCCTATAAGTAGATCTAATTATGACCGCTTACTTCAAAAAGAGGATTTAACCCAAAGCAGATTTAGCAGGGCAGTTTCCAAAGGGCAGCAGGAACCCCAGGCATGACCTTTGAGAAAATCCTAAAAGCTTCGCTGCCCGGGAACTTGGCGAGCCAGTGACCATAAACGCCTCAGAGAATTTCAGAGACGCCAACCTGTTATCAGGGTCCTAGTGGGGGCGTTTAATTTAGAACAAAGTGTCAGAGTGTACCCGTGGCGTATGTGCTGGAGCTGAGTCGGTATTGAGCTGAGAAAAAAAAAAAAATTGACACCCTAATAAAAAGCACTAAATTAAACTTTAATGTGTTTAGGAAGCTAAATAAGAGACAAAGATCTTTTAGTGACTATTTGCCTAAAACGTGAAAGTTTGGGAACATATTCCAGTGGTACCGATTAAAGTTTCAAAAGCTTATTAAAGTCATTTTTAAAGAAAAGTTTACTTGGACTTGTGCTACTTTCAACATAGCACTTTGCTCGGAAGTGGTTTTGTTGTTCTGATGAAATTGAATAACTCCAAAAAAGGTAAAGGAATTTTTCATCTAAAGTTAACCAACATTAGGTTAGTAAATAAATATTTCTGACATAGATTCATCACATAATAAATATGAAAAGAAATATGGTGAACTATAAAACTATTTTGTGTCATTATTTCGGTTGCTCTTACAGAGTGCACACACACAAAGGAAAACAAAACAGAAAGAAAAAGAAACAGCTCCCATAAATATTCACTGCATCCACACACTTCCATTAAACCAACTCTGTGAGTGAACTGGTGCCACCTCAGATTTTATCTTAGGTGGGAAACTATGGAAAAGACAAGATGTAGTTTTAAATCAGATAGTTTACAAAGTGATCAAAAATGATTCACACAGATACTCTTTAGCAGTATTTGATTTCAAATGTTTAAAAAAGTCAATATCATATAAGTTCCTACTTAATTTTTTTTTTTTTTAGTTGTAGATGGACACAACACTTTATTTTAATTTTTTTATGTGGTGCTGAGGATGAAACCCAGTGCCTCATGCATGCTAGGTAAGCACTCTAACACTGAGCCACAACCCCAGCCCAAGTTCCTACTTTTTTTTACTTGACCACATTCCAACACAGGTTATATAACCAGATGATTATTGTGTATTTAATTAATATTGTCTTTAGAACCTTGTTTGCCATAGCCTGGGGTTGGAAACTTCTCAGACATTGAGGTGGCGAGTTTATTCTCACTGGCTACACAAATATGTCAAATCAGATCATCAATTTGTTCAAACACATAACTACTAAACCTTAGCTTGTAAGAGCTTAAGGGAAGCACAAAAAATCTTAAATTAGGGATATAAAATGTAACACTTCAGCCGTTGTTCTCTTTTACATTTCACCTTCCCCAAGGGATGTGCCCAATACAACAATAAGTAAATATTACCAATAACTTAAAAAATTTTTAAACACAACATGCTTTGCTTTATTCTTTATTTACTCTTACTGTGGTAGCTTTTTCTGATATGTAAAATATTCTGCAAAAATCAAATCTTTTCCTTCATATCCAAATAAATAATAAAGCTGGAATAGAAAAAGCTATTCCCTAGTGGCTCTAAATTTGCAAGCCCTCTCAACACAGATGCAAGCAGGCTTGTTGTTGATTTCAAAGATGGTGAATGTCACAGACATAACCATTCAGCTGAGGGAAAGAAGAAAGGACTTGATTGCAAAGGTTTTTCAATTTGGAATCTCTGCTTCATGTGTGTCAATTTTTGGTTTGAGAAAACTAAATGCTTACAAGAACAGTCATGGAGACTCAACACACTATTTTTTTTTGCTTTGTTTTTACATAAAGTTTTATAAAGTATGCAACCAATAGAAAGTTAATCAGTTAGTTCTAGTCATTATCTAAATATTAATATTTTCTACGTTGGTAATAAGAATGAATAGGATTAGGTTAAAGCATTTGCCTTCCTGAAAAATGGTGTGGTTTGTTGTTGTTGTTGTTGTTGTTTGTTTGTTTGTTTTTTCAATAGAAGGCAATTTACAGGAAGGTTTTTCAAATAGAAATACTTCATTGATCAAGCTCAAATGTAAGCTCTCTGGGTTTCTTTCTGGCTTTATGGTTTTAAGGGTTTTAGCACCCTTGTGGGAATGTGGCACCCTATTTTCATGCACCTCCAAACATATTCATGTAAACTGTCACACTCTTTATGGTAACAAACCATTCAGAAATTGGAATTTAGAACCTTGTTTGCTATGGCCATAGCTTGAGGTTGGACACCCAGAGACCTATCCATAGTGCCACCACTTGGAAGCCTGACCTCTGATGGGAGGGATGGATAGGGCAGCAGGCCTCCAGATGTGACTGGCAGTATGTGTGCACATTACCTCTCCCGCTCCTGCTCCAGCAAGTTGGTGAAATCGTCGCTTTTGTTCATGTAGTCAGTGTGTTTGTGCTTCTCGTTCTCCAACTCGTACACAGTACGCCTGTGACACTTCTCTGCCAGCAGCAGTTGCTCTAGCATGCGCCGGTAGGTTTCTTTCTGCTTTTCCTCAAGTCTGTCCAGCTGAGTAGGCAAAGGTGGGAAAGATATTTTATTTTACTTGCATATGACTCTAAATAATTGGCTTAAATTGGTCTAGTGATTTATTACCTGAAGGAGAAAACATCAAATGTGGTATTCTCTGCCATTTCCCCCATTCCATCATTTTCTCTGTGTCAACTGACTACATCAACTAGCCATGATAATGCTGCATTTTAACTTCTGTCCTTCTGGCCCTTTTTCTGTAAATACATGTATGGTCCCTAAACTTGCAGGAGAACGAACTCTTCCACGGTTTTAATGAGATAGCCAAAATCCTGTACTTGAAAAAAAAAAAAAAGGTGGATCACATCCCTCCTGATCTCAAAAAAAAAAAAAAAAATTAACATCTCAGCATGTACATGTGCCAAACTTCTCCTTTGGGAAGTAATTATCATTGTCGCAATCTTATTTTAAGGCTTGCAGCTATATGCATTTCTAGGAAAAGTATATTAAGGATCAAAGTCTTCTTATTTTAAGAGACACTAAATATAAGGAGGATTTTAGAACTTGTAGAGAGTATGTATCTCTAAAATCATTTTTTTTCACAATTCAAAAACTTTATTTACTAAAAAGAATATTTGAATATATATCATTTTCATTATGTATCATTTAATTATTTAAGGTTTCACATTACAGAGAATATTAATAATGATTTTTCTCATATTAATAATGATTTTTGTGATTATCATTTTAAGATTAGATCAAAATAAAAGCAGTCTTAAATATTATCAATTTTTTTCCCTTTTTCTCTGAACAGAGTGTAAGATCTTTAAAGAATCATGCCTTGATCATCTTTTTAGTCTCTAGAGCTTAGCACAGTGTCTAGAACAAATTAGGTGTTCAGTAAATGTTTGTTAAATCTTACAATATTGATAGTTTCCTGTTGTACTCACTCTCTGCCCCATCTGTTTTTGTTTGGTATTGGAATTAAACCCAGAGGCTCTTTACCACTGAGTTAAATCCCCGGTCCTTTTTTTTTTTTTAATAATTTTTTATATAGAGACAGTTGGCCTCAAACTTTGATCTTCCTGCCTGAGCCTCCTGAGTCTGGAATTACAGGGATGTGTCACCGTGCCAAGCTTGCTCTCTCTTAAACTCTATATAGATCAGGATTTCTCAAGTTTGGCACTGCTGAAGCTAGGTCATTTATTGTGGGGTTGTGCACTGGAGGATGTTTAATAGTATCGCCACCATGTGATGCCCTGTATATTAGAGGATGTTTAGCAGCACAACTTTGGCCTATCTACTAGATGCTAGTAGCACCATCTCCAGCTGTGATGATCAAACTATCCTGACATTGTCAACTGTCTCCTGGAAGGAGAAATCCACCAGCTTACTGCATCCCAGTTAAAACAAATGATCTAGTTTAAATCCATTCTCAGTCTCAAAATTGACTTCCTAAAACCCACTATCTCACAGGTTATCAACACCAGAGCCTTCTTTCTTAGTTTTCTATGTTTGCCCTTCAGTTATAAAAAGGATTTGTGATTCTTTCTGCAGTTGCATTTTATATTTATTGTGAATGAATCATTTCTGGAACCCCAAATAAAAAAGAGCTGCCCCCATCATCCTCAGTAACTTCTTTCCAGATCTCCACAACTTTTGCTTAGGAGCAAGTGACCCAATGGAACTAGTGGAGAAATCATGTTAACTGGTAGCTAATAAATATAAAATCAGTAGAATTTGACAAATTACACGTTTATATCTTCTGACAAATTTTTGTAGCCTTAGAGGGACAGTCTATACCATTAGAATAGTTCTTGTTTATGAACTATTCTAAGGACTTTTTCAACTTCCTACATGTTCCTTCTCACCAAATTTTATAGAACTTGTCAAGCACTGCTGAATTATCATTATCATCAGAAATGGGGAAGGAGGACTGGGATGTGGCTCAGTGGTAGAGTGCTTGCCCTGCATGTGCAAGGCCCCGGGCATGATCCTCATTATCACACACACAATGTGGGGAGAATTACTTATTCTTCTTTTTGATCCTTTTATTATAAAATAGGATTCTCCATCTTTGAATATGAAAAGCAGCTTCTGACTATTTTTTAATACTCTCTGCCATACTTCCCAAGGAAGGAGGAGTGACTTATTGAAGGTTATATTTGGAATAGGAAACTGTGCATGTACAGCTCAGTCTTTCATTTATTTTTTATTCTGTCTGCCATAGGATGACATGACATGCTCTAAAGGCCCCAACTTTTCCCTAGGATCTCTCAATCCATTCAAGGAAATGTGGAGAGGAAAATGGTGGCATTGTTAATTAGATGGTTGAAAGAGAAATCCAAAGAGGCAGTGGTTGCATGGACATCTAGAAAAAAACAGCATATGAAAATATCAAGTGTTCAGGGGCAGCCTTACTTAGCTTCAACATATTCTGTCCACTGGGCCTTTGAGACTGGCTGTTCACAGTAGCCTTAGTCCACAGCTAGACCACTGGAGTAGGTTGCTGGGATATCAGTGGATAATGCTCACCTCACCCACAGTAGCACAATTTGACCCAACCATGATTACATCACCAGGAAAACAGTCTTTTTGTCTCTTAATGCATAATTGCTGGGGAATTGGGTTGCATAGTATGCTTTTGAGGCAGAACTGTGGACCCAGACTTTAGAATTCAGAGGCAGTAAATTCTTCCCCTATAAAGCATTAGTGTGAGGATCTAGCTTTTAATTTTAAATTCTGCATGTAAGAACTTAACATAGGTAGCAATACAGCATCTGTGCCAGATGCTATTTCTTGTTATTTTGTCTGGAAACATATCAAGCTCCTAAAAGAGAACTGAGATGGCCTATTCTCTTGGCTGTATATGAAGACTAATTCCCATAACTATAGACCCTATAGATTCATGAATCATATGTACCATGTATATGGCTTTTGGTTTTGAAGATCCAAGCTGTAGCTCAGCTTAGAGGAATGGCTTTGATTAATGAGCCGTGAAAGTGGAATGGGCACCTATTACTTTGGAAATACAGCTTCCACTTGGACAGAAGTGGAAAGAAAATTGAATTAGATCATCATAGAGCCAAAGGCCAAAAATTTACTAAGGAAAGAGTGTACCTGGAAGTCTTTTCCAAATGAATCAGATTGGCAGATTAGTGCAAAGACTTGAGATTGAGAACAATTTCAGTATGTGTTAGATAAAAGGATCACAGTTCAGGAAATGTTTTTGACTCTGTTACCTGAAGAGGGCTAAATGGAGAAGTACTAAGGAATCCAGGAAGAGAGAAATCAACTTAAAAGGAAATACAAGGTCTTAAAAATCAAACCAGATTTATACAAAAGGGAAATGGATCTAAGTGCAAAGATAGAGCCATAAAAAAAATCTTGGAGCTGGAAACTTATAAATTTTTTAAAAGTTTGAGCATATGAAATTGGTACTATGATAATTGTGTGTGTCCTAATGAACTCTTGGATTCCTTGGAAAAAAACAGAATATAGGGACTTAAGGATAAAATAATGCATCTTTGAAAATGCCAAGACAAGTCATTTTACTGAAGAGGAAAGCAAAAACAATTGAGTTTGAGTGGAACAAGAAATTAAATTAAAAGGAAAGAAACAAAAATCTTAATTTTTCTTGGAATTTTGCTCAAAAGAATTATGAATTTTAACATTCTGGACTTTGATTTATAAGGAAGTTCAGGGAGGTTTAATATTTTCTATTTAATTTCTCCCCAGACATTTGGCAAGGGAAAGAGATCCACCGCATTGTGTTCACACTTAGCCTTCGGTGAATTCAACTGGGGCCTAATTTGGTATGGAAATTACAATGAGCAGTGATTTTTTTTATTATTATTATTTTAAAATTTTTTTGGATTGAGATGCAACAAAGCTTCCAGGAACAAAAGCTAGACTACATGCTCATGGTCCCAGGAAACTAATGGAACAGTGATATATTGGAGTGCATGTTTGGAAGAAAGACTTATGTTTCTGGATAATAAGAACTTGATTGTTAATACTAAAGGATTAAGAGATCAAAAATCTGTACATAATGGGAAAAAAAAAACTTTTTCTTCTAGCATTCTATTTCTCTCACAATGCAGGACTTCATTTGTTAGTACTAGGAAGAGTAATTTCATCCTTCTCTCTTTCTACTTCCTCACTCACTTCTCCCCAAGAGAGAAATGACTCTCAGATTGCTGAAAGGAGAAAGGAACAAAGAAGTACACCCAGTTTAGCCGGTTCCAGGACAAATTACAAACTGGTCGTTTCTGCTGTGCTGCTCTGTCCAGAGGTAGGAATGCTGGTGTCAGGCCTACTTTCTTTTTTGGCGGGGAGGGGAGGTACTGGAGATTAAACTCAGGGCACTCAACCACTAAGCCACATCCCCAGTCCTGGTTTTTTTAAAGACAGGGTCTGACTGAATTGCTTAGCATATTGCTTTTTACTGAGGCTGACTTTGAATTTTCAATCCACCTGCCTCAGCCTCCAGAACCGCTGGGATTATAGGCATGCGCCACTGTGCCTGGCAGGCCTACTTTCTGAAGGTAGATTAGAAACTCTTCTCTTTGTGTACTATCCATAGAACTCAGTGGATAGGAGACAATGATTCTGCACATGTCTGCCTTGGAGACCTATCTCTTCCTTGCATGTACATCCAAAGCTCTTGGGAGAAAAAAATTAAGATGCTCAAATGAAACCATTTATTAAAGCTGAGTTATCCAATTCAAGTTACTATTATTATAAAATCAATGTATGTTTTTAACCTCTACTTGTCTTTTCCTCCCCAAATCCCTACTTAGAATCAGTTAAAGGGTATGAGCAATTATCATTCTCAAATCCTAGAAAATACTAATGGCTGATGTTTTTTGAGTACCCAGTACTGTGTCAGATGCTGTGCTAAGAGCTTTACAGTATTGCTCTGTTTAATCCTCACATCATCTCTATGAGGTGTGCACTGTGGTTTCTCCCACCTCACAGATAAAGGCTTAGGGCCAAGGATATAGCTCAGTTGGTAGAGTGCCTGCCTCGAATGCACAAGGCCCTGGGTTCAATTCCCAGCACCACAAAAAAAGAAAAAGAAAAAAAGACCCTGAGGCTTAAAGAGCACAATTGGCCAAGGTAAGGTCATATACAGCTAGTAAAGGTGCATCTCAAACATGGAAGTATATCCAACTTGTTGACTGTACTCCATCACATAATCATTTCTTAACAACTTTAGGAAAAATTGAGAATAGAGCTTCAGTTTGCTCTTGTTGAATAAATTAGAAAATTATGAAGCATCAATTTGTTTTGAATACTAACTAAAGAATATGTTGTCTCTCAGATCTGTCAAACTGAGCTGCTCTGAAGACTTGATAAAAGTCAAAAGTTAACTTTATAATAAGTTGCTTTAAACATTCAGTTTTGTGAGGTTTTTTTCATTCATCATGCTAATTGCATAGCCATTAATTCTTCACATGAATTTTCAGGAATCAGTGTGACTTGATTTGTAAACTGTGACCCTAATTTGGCATCAAACTTATACTACAATGTGAAAGTATTTTTAAAATATTATCTCATGGGTAATTAGTAATGATAGTCCATAGTTACTAACACAATCTTATTCACAAAAGTGATTAAATATAGCCCTACAGAATTATAATAAAAAATTGTTCTAAGAATTTCATTGGGAATTTGCCTCAATCATTGTATTTTAGGTACTCACATAAGACCTTTTTAATTATGACAGTCTTTAAGATACCCAAAAAACAATCTGGCTTTATAACCATAAATATTAATATAAAATCAATTTAGTTTTAGATTTCCAATTTGATGAGAATCCTGACAACTCAATGTTAAAGCTGACAAATATTTCAAATTTTTATACACATAATTTCTTAGAGAAGTAAAACAATAATATACTGTAAGAGCATGTAACTATTATACTCACACGGAAAATATACTTCAAGCTTTAAGCATATTTAAGTAAAAGCTTCTGAAATTCTTATCATTGAAGCTCACCAACTACAACCTTGAATTAATTATACTTTACTTGATATTAGTGTATCATAAAAATTTTTCTTTTGAAAGAAAATGCTCAAATATGTAAATAGAAAAATGGGAAGATATGCCTCTGAGTTTTCTTTCTAGGGGACTTGGTATCATATTTTTACCTCTGAGATGGGTTTCTCATAGACATCTTCTCCTATGGACTTCTCCTGAGCAAGGATGGCATCTCGGTGCAGGATCCGAAGCACTTTCTCTGGTTCTGCAGATCCGTAGTGAGCCTCCAGAACCTCAGGCTTGGTTTTCTCAGTCTTCAACATATGGATCACATCTTCTCTGGCCTACGGTAGAAAGTACAGCAAGGTCAGATGGTTGACAATGTAAATCATATAACAGGCTCACAAAATCAACATGGAGCTTATTGAATACATACCCACCTCTTCAGGGTTATTGGCAAATTAACTGGGTGTTCTGTTTTTTTTTTTTTTCCACCAAGAGCAGATTGGCAAGCAGATACTCTGCTTCAGGTTGCTAGGAAGCAGGCAAGCAGAAAGAGGGTTTGTGCTAATATTAACTACATAAAAATTGCTTGATTTAAGTAGCAATGATTTGAGAGAAGGGGCAGGGTTGGGCTGGTTTTGGTATAGATAACTTGTTTCAGTGTAAATGAGGTCAAAGACAAGCTAAAATCTTCTAGGTTTCTATTTATGCTCTAAGTGCAGTATTCAAATCCAGTTTATAGTAAAACCCTGCTCTCTTCATCCCATAACTCTGTGTTAATTAAAGCTAGCTATAACTTCATGTGAAATTAACAAACAGCCTTTATTAGTGATTTCTTTCTGTTCCTCATCAAGTAATTCCTTTTGCACAGAAGTACATGGTTGAGTATTCACTCCATGCTGGGCTGGGCTTTTTCCATCTAATGCATTCATGCTGAAAGTGAGATATTATTCTTTGAATATCCAGACTACCCACAGATGAGTTGGGTTTGGTAGGGTCATGGTTATTCTTTTGGTTTCTTAGCACAACGTTAAATGAAGCTTTCGAGAAAACCATGTAATTGTAGGTTTTATATGATATTATCTTTGGTCCCTATCCCATAATGCAAATGCATCTGGATATATTTTGTACTGGTTAGCTGTGATGATATTGCTAGTCATGATGTAGCTGACATTTGCTGAATGTACTTCCATCTGGGCCTTGGCTCACTTGGAACTGTTTTTCCAGTAATGGTGATGGGTAAGTATCTGACTTCATTCCAACTTGTACTAAAGACCAAACTGAGAGTTTCAGTCTGTGACAATGGAATAGAGTTTTCCCTGTATTAATGCTAACTATGGATTTGAGTCTTTAAAAATGGATCATTATTATGGTTGTCTAAACAAGAGAGCTGACTAGTCAAGTATTTATGATAGGACCAACATAAAGTTGGTCTTTCTTGAAGTTCCTCACTTCTACTGCATTGTCAGTCTCCAAATTAATCTAATTCCAGATGAATTGGAGACATCACTGAGACATCAACCAACCAGAATATGCAAATTTTCAGTGTCTCGACCACATATATGTATGCTCATTTCAAGACTAAAAAAAAACAAAATATTACTTTTGAAGAACTTAGTGATTGGGAACATTAATGAGAATATTAAGATCAGAAAATAGGTTCCTGAAAAGACAATATGTCTCCATGCAGGGTGAAAGGATATTCATACAGTCACAATGTCAGGCTAACCTGTACTGTGTCTTTATGCAAATTGCTTTAGAAAAATGGTGCCTGCTTCAATGAAGGTATGGTCCTGAATCAGAGTGCAGCTTATGCAGCTCACCTAGTGAGAGAAGAGTGGGCTGAATTCCATCTACTCATCTCTGCCAGGTAAACCTCATGCAAGGCATAATTCTCTATCTGCATGAGGTGTTCCTATTCTTAAGGAGCCTCCAGGCGTATAACTTGTTACTAGTCTTCAGGAGGGAAATGCTCCTATGTTCATCTCACTGGTGAACACATATAGCATCTTCTAAAGTAATGGTTTTCAAAGCTGACCGCATGGGAATCACCTGGAACTTTAAAAAATCCCACAGCCCATGCCATCCCAGACCAATTACATCCCAATCTCTGGGAGAAGGGCTTGTGCATCAGTCCATGTTAAAGCTCCCGGGTGATTGCAGAGTACTGTGCTCACACTACTTTGGTTTGGATTTGGTTTGAGTGTGTCCCCTAGGGGTTTGTGTGCCAGAAGCTTGTTCCCCAGTGTGGTGATATGAGAGATACTGGAACTTTTAGGTGGTGGGGCTTAGTGGAAGGTGAACATTAGGTCATTGGGAACACTCTCGGGTTGATATAATTCTCACAGGACCCTGGATATTCCTTTAGAGCAAGTTGTGCAAAAGAACAAACCTAGCCAGTGAATTCCTCTAGCTTTCTCTCTTAAGATGTGACTACTCTCTCCCTCTCACACATGCTTCTGCCATAATGCCATCTGCCATGCTGTGGTGCACAACACAATAGGCCAAGTTATGGTGTTACACAATTGTGGATTTTCAGTCTCCAAAACTATGAGCTATATAAGCCTCTTTTCTTTATAAAGGACTGAGCCTCCAGTATTTTGTTAGCAACAGAAAATAAATGAATACACACACTAATAAATTAAGAGACAGAGCAACCAAACTGATTAATAATTCCTGGTACTATTCAATCTAAACTTTGCTAAGTTGGTGTGTGTGCTTTTTCTTTTTCTGTCTTTGGAAAGATATTATCACCTTACTTCTTTCAATCACCTCACACCTGAGGTCAGTCTTAAACTTTAGCCAGAGCGGAAAACTTCATCTGAAAAAATAAACTGTGAATTTAGTGACTAATGCAGTGAGAAGGAAGAAAAATTTAGAATCATATTTCAAAGTGACAAAATGGTGATGATAAGGTTGGCAAGGTGGAAGTCTCCATAACAAACTATTATTTTTCCTATCTTTAAATCAAATGAAGTAAAGTCTGTCTTCTAAAGTTCACGTTTTAACATGTGAAGTGTAAAGACTTACAGGGAAGACATTGAATTTACTGGGTTTTTTTTTGGGGGGGGGAGTTAAAAATTTTAAAAATAATCTCAGCAACTTGGGAATCTGAGGCAGGAGTATCATAAATTCAAAGCCAAACTCAGCAACAAGACTCTGACTCAAAATTTAAAAATAAAAAATAAATAAATAAAATTTAAAATGTTTAAACAGTAAAGGAGAATGTATTGTCATTTGTACACTAATTTGAGATATTGATTCAAAATAAAATGCAAATATTTCAAATGGTTTGCTTCCTACTCTCTAAAATGTAGTAGATATGTAAGAAAAGGAAGAGCAGAATAAAAGCAAAATTCAAATTCTTCAGAAAAGAAATCATGATTGAAGGCATAGATTCAATCATATAGTACTTGAATAATTAAACAAACTTTTGAAAGACTGAAAAAAATGGCTTAGAAGACAGACACTAAATGTAGTGGGATGAAGGCTGCATGTAGTCCCTTATCTTTTGCTTATATGTTTGTTCTCAACTTTCCACAATGAATATGTAATTAATTTTATAAAAAGAAACAAAGTTGCACTTTTATAAAGAAAGTCCTCATATTTCTATTTCACACAAGTCCTCATTATTTCTATTTCACACAACAGGGCAAGGGCAAATAATGTAGTAAAAAGTTCCTTTTACACATGCCCAATGCTGAGAAAGCCACCTTCATTCTGGCTATATATAAGCCTACACACAGTGTCCCCGGGATTTAACACAAAGAAAACATAAACCGAATTTCAGAAAGATTGTACTATACCATCGTTTTGGCATTGCTTTGATTCCTTTTAGGATTATTTAAACACAGCAGTAAATCCAAGATAGAACAGCCACTAAAGTGGGTGGGGATGCTAACAACGAGGTGGTGTGAGGACTATAGTTGTCCCACTAACATTTATTCTGATTTACTCACATTCCAACTAGACCACTGAAGGAATCATTGAAGAGCTATTTACATATTGCCTTTCCACAAATGACATCCTGAAAAAGTGTTTGTCCCTAATTATGGATAAATGTCAGAAAGTGGCTTTCAAAATGCAAACAGTATTTAATAACCTTGAGAGCTTAGATTGCACCACTGAGTTAACACAAGTTTGCACAACCTGAGCATAAAGAAAATTAATTAAATCATTTTCTGTATTTTTATTTTTATTTATTTATTTAGGTACTAGGGATTGAACCCAGGGCTCTTTACCTCTAAGCTTTTTATTTTGAGACAGGATCTTGCTAACTTGCTGAGGATGGCCTTGAACTTGCTGAGGATGGCCTTGAACTTGCTGAGGATGGCCTTGAACTTGCATCATCCTTCCTTAGCTTCCTGAGTTGCTGGAATTACAGGTGTGAGCCATCATACCCAGCAAGTTAATTAAATGTTAAAACTATTAAGCTAAACACAAACAAAAACAGAAATAAAATTCGCATGATGGTATAGAAGTTTCCAGTCCTAAAATTGCTTTGACCTAATCTATGAAAAAGGGTCATAATAACTTTCTTACATGATTGTTTTAGAATGGCATCAGATATAAATATATTAAATGCATAATAAGCACATGGCACACAGTAGGTGCTAAGTCAATGGTAATGATTTATTATAGTTCTGTTAGGTCCCTATCATTAGATAACTTTTTGCACATGAGGAGAAAAGGAATTTTGTAAGATATATTTTTTCCCTAGTCAAATGTAACATTTAAAACTGGTAGAGTTTAACCATCTATACATTCCACAATTTGCTTTGAAGAACAGTTTTTCAAAAGGGAATTTTTTAATTCAAGCAACCTCTTCCCAAAAGTTGTTTCATCTTCCTGACTCAGTTTGTTTGTCTCTAAAGTAGGGACACTAATCCTTCTATGTCATAGGTACTTTGTCAGGTTCTAACAAGAGGATGCAAATAAAGTGCATTTGAATCAGTAAATAGGTAGTGATTTCAGCTTAATAGTTTACTATTCAATTTAAAATGCATAAATATTATTGTTAGTTATCATCTTGACCAAATCTTTCTGATTCTCTTAGAAGATAACTTCTATTCTTCCTACCGATGTGAAACGCCTATTATTTCTCTTCTTAAAAATCCATTTATGTTTGAACCTTATTAATTGCTATAAGATATATATATATTTCACATTTCATCTTACTTTCATTATCCTAGAAACTAATTACCAAAGCAAAAGAGGCTAAGGTGATGTAATACTGTGTATCATATATTTAAAACCACTCTATTCACCTCTTATTTAGAGCTTTTTTTTTTCTTTTTAAAATTTATTTTATAGTTGTAGTTGGACACAATACCTTTATTTC